ATTTGCACAGTCTCACCCCCACAAGGGTATATGTACCTTATTTACATTGTTAGCAAGCTGTAAATCCCCTTGATGGGCCACAAAGCATCTCCCATTTACATAGTTCTATTATAGTCATCTGGTGGGAGTCATAAAGACCATGGATTGAAGAGCCATATAAGTAATTCACTGCACCACACCTGTGCATTCCACCTGCACGGTTAACATGTATAGTTGCCATTTATGTTGTTGAAAAAGATATTTGCAATGAATAAGTTGCTGGTCTTGCAAAATTCTATCATACGATCTCCAGTGAAATTTCTATCACCAAGCCCATATTTTCCAACTACTGATCCTTTGTTTCCAACTCTTCCATTCCAGTCACGATGTATTTATTATCAATGCACCTTGATTGCATGTTTGGTCAATTTCAGACTGCAGAAGTTAGTAAAAATCTTCAATTTCTTCATTTTTGGCTTTACTGGTTGGTGTGTAAATTTGAATAATAGTTGTATTAACTTGTCTTCCTTGTAGATATATGGATATTATCCTATCACTGGCAGCATTCTTCAGGATAGATCTTGAAATGTTCTTTTTGACAATGAATCCAACAACATTATTTTTCAATTTGTGATTCCCAGCATAGTAGACCATATGATTGTCTGATTCAAAATGGCGAAAACCAATCTTTTTCAGCGTAGTGCCTAAAGCACTTGACTTCTAACCAGAAGGCTGGCGGTTCAAACCCAGCAGCCACTCCTCAGAAGGAAGATGGGCCAATCTACTTCCATAGGGATACTGACTTGGCAACCCAAGGAGGGGTCGCTATGAGTCGGGTCCGACTTGACGGCACATAACAACAACAACAACGCCTAGGATGTTGATCTTTATGCGTTCCATTGCATTTTTGACAACTTCTAATTTTACTGGAGTCATACTTTGCACATTCCATGTTCCGATTACTACTGGATGTTTGCAGCTGTTTCTTCTCATTTTGAGTCATGCCCCATCAGCAAATGAAGATCCTGAAAACTGTACTCCATCCATGTCATTAATGTTGACTCTGCTTTTAGGGGGCAGCTCTTCCCTCGCCATACTTTGAGTGCCTTCCAACCTGAGAGGATCATCTTCCATCGCCGTCGGAGACCATGCTCTGCTGCTATTCATAATTTCAGTGATTAGTTCTTTCAGAAGTGGACCTCCTTGTTCTTTCTAGTCTGTCTTGGTCTGAAAGCACCACTGAAACCAGTCTGTCCACCATGAGTGACCCTGCTGGTATTTAAAACACCAGTGGTATAACTTCCAGCATCAGGGCAACACATAACCCACCACAGAGTGACAGCATTGACTGCCGTATGTGTTCCAGTTTCAGAGAAGTTAGTATGTGAAGATATGTGTCTTGGATTTGATTAAATTCCCCATTTGGGTGTGTTTTTAGGGAAGTTGCAAAAATACTCTGATCAACACCCATAAGCCCTTGAGCTATTTCCATGTACCACATTCGCATTATTTTCTTTACACACACATACAGTTTTGCTGAGCCATTAAGCGTAAGTTTCAGCTACTTTCTCTGGTGTCTTTTGATGAACTGAAGTTCATTATTTTAGCATAGTTGATTTTTATCTTGAAGAAATCCTTCCTTAACGAAGTTCTATATTGTCTTCTAAAAATTTTGTAGTTTCACATTTCACTTAAGCCCTCAGACCCTTGAGTGTTAATTTTTTGTGTTTTGCGGTATGGATAAAATGTGTTGTTGTTTTTTCCCTCATTCAGTAACCTTGTCCAATACTTGTATTTTTTAGTGAATTTTGAATTCCTGTTTTTCTGTTTTCCCATCTTTCTCTTGTCTTTTGTGTAGCTAAGCCCTCATCAACAATTGTTATTTCCTTTTTTTTCTGCTAATAGCCATCAAATGGGTGTAAAGTGGTATCTCATCTTGATTTTGATAATGTAGTTCTCTAGTGACTTCCTTGGAGCTCTGGTGGCATAGTGATTAAAAAATTTGGCTGCTAACCAAAAGGTCAGTGGTTCTAGCCCACTAGCCGCTCCATGGGAGAAAGATGAGGCAGTCTGTTTCTGTAAAAATTTACAGTCTTAGCTCTGGTAGCATAGTGGCTAAGGCACTTGACTGCTAACCAGAAGGCTGACGGTTCAA